TGTAGCTGTGTCTTCACAGCATACACATGGATGCTGAACGCAGGTGAGTGTACCATACAAGACTCAGCCACTGAGCAAAATGCAGCTGACACAATGCTGTTTTATATTCCTCGTCCAAGGCAGCATCTATCTGGTAAGTGCTGGATCTATATCTCTATTTTCCCCCTCCTGCCTGTCTGTCTCTTTATATCTATGTCAAGCCCCCCTTTTATTGCCCCCCTCTTCTTTCCCTCTCCCCCCCCCTCCTCTTGGCATGCTGTCACACCTGCTGCTCTCCACCGTATGATATATTGCTCTGTGTATTATGTGTATGCACATTATATAGAGTGTATACAGTTATACAGTCACATTGCAAGCCCTAGCTTTCCCGTAACAAGGGGAGGCATTTAGATCCTTCTGCCAGAAGGACAGCTTGCGTTAAGCAATCCCCTACCTGTTGCTTGTTTCCAGCCACATAATGCGATAGTATATGTGCATTTAGCAATATATAGGGGGCGTGTGGTAATGGGGATACCAGATAGCTTGTTTAAAGGTTTGACATTGCAAGAAGGGCATAAGCATAGTACAGTACAGAACTGACCTGGAAGAGGTTAGCTGTATTTTTGGTGGGGGTTTTTTTTGGGATGTAGTGGTTTGGAAATCGGGACTGTAAGGGGCTGAGAGATCCAGAGGGAAATGATATCAGTGGCATGATTCATAGGGTTGCAAGTCATGTATGAGCGAAAAGATCTACAGTCTTGGGGTTGTTTAATAGGTTAAACAAGCTATTTAGAATTAGCAAAAAGGGTGGGGGAGGTTGGTTGGGGTTTAGGGGTTAGTCCAGTGTAGGAGCAAGGATCTCCATCTCCTTGTGTTTAAGGGCTTAGCATCACATATGGTCAAGAAGAACTAACGATAGGGTCAGTTTCACAGTTCCAAAGGATCTTTCTAGTTAAAGAACTGGGAGCTAGAGACATGAATAGGTTTCGAGTGGGTTAAACAGCCTGTTTCAGGTATGATCTCAAGAAACCTCAGTGGCTTTTATAGGTTTTGCCTGTTACGATTACACAGATCTGAGCATATATCTGAAGGGCTAAATAGTTCTGACAATTGCAAGTGTGGTCTGGTCTTATTTGCCTATTGGGTGAATGCACTTACTTTATTTTTTTCCAGAGACCTTCAGGCTTGGACAGGTATTGATAGAGTTAAGTAGATAGTTCTTAGCATTCTAAGAGTGTTCTGATGACGGCTGTGCATTTAATGGTATAATGCTTCTACCCAATCTGATTCCAGAACAGGGATACCTAGACAGGTCTAAAAGGAACATTTTTCACAGCTGTGTATTTAATGGGTTAATCGCTCTGGCTTGTTTTATTCCAGAGATTTGAAAACGGTGCATTTGCTTCAAGTGTTAAGTAGACAGCACTAAAATGCCTGGAGACGCATAATGACAGCCCTGTATTTATTGGGTTAATACGGCTTTGAAATGATATACCAGAGGTCTTTAGACTTGAACATTTACGAGTTAGTAGTATCATGTGATCTAATGACAGGTTTATTTTTTTAAGGATTATGTCGTTTTATTTCAAAGATCTTGAAAAATGCATTCAAAGGGTTAATCAGACAGTCCAGAATATAAGGAAAGAACCGATGTCCTTTGTGAATTTAATTGCATGATACAACTATGTCATTTTATCGTAGAGATCTTCAAACCTGAACATGTATTTAGAGAGTCACATAGACAGCCCTGAGAACTGAATGATCTGATCACAGCCTTGTTATACCACTTTATTATTATATTCTGGAGATTTATAGACCTGGATTTGTATGTTAAGGGTTAAGTGCAAAATCCTGAGAATTATCAGAGAAAGCTTTGAACTTTAATAAGTTAACAATGCAGTCCTAAATATTATAATAAACCCATTTACATGTATTTTTAATAAATCAATGTCTCCATCTTAGTTTATTCCAGTGATCTTTAACCTTGGACATGTATTTTAAGAGTTTTATATAGTCCCAAAATCTATATGGTTCATGACAGGTATGCATTTATCAATGTACTTTCATTCCAAAGACCTTAAGGCTTAAAAATGCATTCTAAAAGTTACCACATCCGAATATGATAGAAGTGCCATTTAGGCATTTTATGGGTCAATACTGAGCTGTAATTGTATTCCAGAGGTTCTTAGACATGCACATGTAGTAGAAGACCACTATTGAGATATAAGGGGATCCAATGATAGCTGCTCATGATTCAAGGTCTCTATACAGTTATATTATAGAAATCTTTAGATGGTCAGATATTAAAAGGGTTAAATAGACAACCATGACCAATGTAAGAGCTGGCAGTTGCGAGAAAAAGGTAAACCGCCCCATGTCAATTTCTTCCACAGATCCTAAGACCCGAACATGTATCTGAGGAGATAAATAGATGGTTCTGAGAGATACAAGAGAGATATAATAACAGTCGTGCAGTGTTTCTATATCATTTCAGCCAGAGATCTTCAGACCCCGAGCTTGCATTTGAAGGGTTAAATAAATAAATAAATGTGGCCTTGGTTCATCTGATGAAAGCCGTGCGCTAAATAGATTAACCATCTGATATCTACAGACGTGCACATGTTATGGCAGCCCCAGCCGAAGATCAGAAAGAGAGTTAAAAGGACATATTTAAAGGGTCAGTCTAGAGAACATGCATGGATCGGCGGACTTGCCTGGAGCTTGACTTTTACAGGCAAGCCCAGGTATGATCAAACAGAAGAGATGACAGCCATTCAAAGAGTTGGAAGGTCTCTCTTGTGTAGGTGCTAAGGTCTACAGCTCTGCTAGTGGCTTGCTGGGGTAGATAGCAGGCACTAAGTGGGATCAGAGAGAGGTAATGAAAGGGTTAAATGGTCCATCATGCATAGGATGAGACCTACAAAGCTGGATACGCAGGTGAAAGGATGAAGAGAAACTACCTTAAGATCAAAGGCAGGTTAAAGGTATAGCAGTGGATACATGGGAAGCTTGACATGTATTGTCTAGTCGGATGGGTGTCATGCCAGGCACGTTTATTGGGTTAAAGAGCAGTCAAATATGAACTGAGAGATCTATGGGAAGGAGCCCGTTTAATATGCTAAACAAAGTGTGTCATACAGGAACAGAAATAACCTAATTACAATAGCATGTTTAATGACTTAAAGAGATAGTCCTTCATTTAACAGCTCGCAGCTTTGTGGAAGGAGAAGTCCATGGATAAGATGAGATCAAATGGCAGAACAACTTTTGGTCTGCTAAAAGGCACAGTGGGGAATTTTTTTTTTTTTAAATTACGGGAGGGGAAAGCATATTACCCTTAGCAACCAATCAGACAGCAGCGGCCATTTTTCACCGCAGGTTGGGGATGAAGGATGAAGCTTGATTTGTTGACATTTTCCTTTCTTCTATTCTATTATTATTTCTTCCAGATCTAAAAACTGCGACATGCTTGATAGGTTAAACATGAAGCTCCTTGTATAGCCAGTGTCACATTGACCTGCCTTATCTGTAACTGTCACAATAAACTGGGCACTTAGGCTCATCCTTTACGTAGAGCAGTGTAGCTTTTCCTTCTAGGTCATGCAAACTGTCAATCCCAGTGGATTGTCGAATGACCTATTGACATTGACATGTTCGATAGGTTAAGAGGCCTGTCCCACTAGGGAGCCTAGTGGTGTAATGAGAGACATATTTAAAGTTCAGGCAATGCCAGCTAGTTATCTAATAAGGGTTGGCTATTGATCTTTATAGTTTCAAGATGATGCTGGGAAAGATTTGTAGGGAAATTTACCAGAGATTATCAAGGCTTCTCAAGGCTTGTTATAGGAAGTTATACATCATAACGACCTATCGATCAATGGTTTTTAAGACAGGTTGAAGAGGTCTCCTGTAATAGGCAGTGGTTTATGGAGTGCTGAGTTGTTAAAGGACCTTATTTGTTCATTTTCAAATGTAGGTTATTAGGTCAAGTCGTGTATTGCTACACAAAAGGAAGACGCCCTCTTTATTATCTTGTAGGCTACGTTCATACCTGCAGGGCCTGTCTTACCATCAAGTGGCACCTTCTAAATAAAAGCATCAGACATATTTGCCAGACTAGCCTTGGTCTGTTAATAGTTCCTCGATGTGCCTACTGTTAAAGTATGGGAGACATCTACATAAAGCAACAGAGCAGAATAGGTGCTTCGTGTAATCTGGTCTACAAAAACTGTTAGTTTGTAGCTTCTTTATCGATTCCCCTTCCTTGCATTTAGAGCAACTCAACCAAAAATATATATCTCCACTTTGAGTAGAGTGGAGCATGGCTTGAGGACAGCTTCCCCATGCTGGCCCTTACTGATTTCTAGGACAGTGGTAGGAGTTGCAAGCCTAGTTATGTTGTCATAGCCCAAGCTCCACCTCATAGCTGAGTTACCTTATTCTGAGACCTGAATGCATTCTCCATCTATTCCTAGAGAACATTTTCTAATGTCCACTAGAGGCACCAGGGCAAAGAACTGCTTAAAAACCATCCTCTGGAACAGTGGTGGTCAACTTAGTAAATACAGGGGGCCTCAAGTGCAGCCCCCTCCATGCCAGGAGAACCCACACAATAGTTTTTTTGTTTTTTTATAAATGCTCTGTTATGAATTATTAGGATGACATTAACAAGATATAAACAGACAAAGGTTCTACCTCTATTTTGGACAAACCGAAACTCTTCTGGAAAAGTATATTTTGGGGCATGGCGATTAATAAATAGAGGGTATCATTTTTTAACTTATTTAATTAATTTATTAAATCTGATCTTGTGTGTGTGTATATATTGTTGGAATTAGAGATGTTGTGCATGGTTATATATATATATATATAATGACATTTATATGAATGGCTTTGTTTATCTTCAAACCCATTCATACTTTATGAATGGGTCTGACAGTAAACACAGCCGTCCCTGGAGGCTGCTGCTATGGGTGTTCAGAGGAGATGTTTAACACAGCATAGATGGCCAGGACTAGAGCAGTCTGGGAAGAGATCTGCAATACCGGAGCAGTCTGGAGAAAAGTGGCCTGGACTGGATGGAATGGTCTGGCAAAAAGTGGCCTGGACTAGAGCGGTCTGGGGAAAGGTGTACTGTACTGGAGCTGAGTCTGG